TCACCGTTTTCGTCTATCGTCATAAGCTGTTTTAAAGATGTCTAAAATTGATAAAAAGTGTTTATTCAATTTGGCCTTATAATTCCATAGGGTATCTATAAAAAAAATCTCATATGCTTTTTTGATCTGCCAATCAACAACATAGCTTCCTTGATAAACCACTTAACATAAGGATAAATTGCAAGTAATTGTCATATATCTGTTAAATCATAATAGATAACAATCTTTTCAGAGTCTTAAGTGCACAGAAAGTCATAATGATAACAGAAATTGAAAGAGCACACATCATCAGTAAATCTTCAAAAATGCTGAAATTATAAATTGATGTTGCCAACATCAACGTTATTTGGTCTTTGGTGGATAGTTGCCTTATTGCCAATCAGGCCACATCTCCTGACTTTATATTTATATAGGAGATGCTGCCCTAAAGTAAGTTTGGATGTGAGTGTCAAGATAGAAAAGGGTTAAAAAACGATTTTATATATTTAAAGATATTTGCTCAAAAAGAAATACATGTGTATGTCCTTGATTACGATAAATATGAACATTTTTAAAAACAGTGGTTCTCTTGGTTATCTCAAATATTTCTTACACTGTCGAAATGTTATCAGAAAAAACACGGATTGACCAAACTCTGAAGGATGTAATTTAAATTGTACCTACTAAATTAAGTTTTAAGTTTTCGATAAAATTTCCCTACATTGTTAAATAAAAAGAGACAGAGGGGTTCAAAATAATGGAAAGTAGATGATAGACATGACAAACACATATCTTTACTCTTCAATTTGCTGAAAGTTTAGTTTTCAATGCCTTCAGGTTGGTATTTGATTAGCCTTTAAACTAACGTAAATGCCACTGATGAGTCTTGGGCGAACGGAATACGTGTATGGCGTACCTTATTATAAGCTTTGTACTTTTAATGATGTTTTTACCAAGATAAAAAGCCAAAAAGTGTGCCCATAGAAAATGATCACCAATAAAATATGTAAGAAATCGACTTCAATGCCGATATTTCTGAAACCAGCAATTGAATACATAAACATGTTTAACCCCGCCGCATTTTTGCGCCTGTCCCAAGTCAGGAGCCTCTAGCCTTTGTCAGTCTTGTATTATTTTTAATTTTAGTTTCTTGTGTACAATTTGGAGTTTAGTATGGCGTTCATTATCACTGAACTAGTAGTATATATTTGTTTAGGGGCCAGCTGAAGGACGCCTCCGGGTGCGGGAATTTCTCGCTGCATTGAAGACCTGTTGGTGACCTTCTGCTGTTGTCTGTTCTATGGTCGGTTGTTGTCTCTTTGACACATTCCCCATTTCCATTCTCAATTTTATATTCTAGAATTTTTTGCCTCAAGTGATTTATTTTAAACTAATTTTACAACTGTTTGCATATTATCCCTCCCATTATAATATAATTGATAAAACAATAAACAGCAAAACTTATTATCAGTACAAGATCTACACAAATGTCGATACGACTGAAACCAGCAATTGACTCACAATAGGAGTGATTCTCCTTAAATCACGATTTACGTTAAGGCCTATTAACTGATAAACAGGAAAATTTATCACTTGTCCAAGATTTAAGAAAAAATCCTTAAAAGACAGAAACCAATAATTGACTCTTTATATTGTAGTTTATTCCTAAATAACATTTTTTGACCATAATTAACGTTCTCCTAAAATAAATTAGACTGAAACAATTAAACATTCATAAATATCATCCTTACAAAATATACAAATATATCGGGTTCAGGTTAGTAAAAGAATATGGTTATCAAATCTTCCGCTAAATATTTGATACATTATCTTTCAAAAATCGATATTTTTTTATTGCCCGATACCCGTCAACCTTTTTTTGGTGTATGTCATCACGTCTAGCGATTCACAAAATGTATCAATGAACTTTTACTGTTCATGAGAAACACGTCGGGTGCTTCTAGTTGAGCAATAATATTTTGCCCTTTCGCAACACTTATGTTCACTCCAAGATTTCCTTTAGTGTGGTTCAAGATGTTTTTGTAAGGTTTTATGTTCCTACATTGATGTCCGTGTTTGATTTGTTGGGTAAGTAAATCTACGCTTTATAAATTGTATTCATAGGTAAGCTTTTCCAGGTATACCTTGCTCAGGTATATCTTGAAATTGACGTATGTTTTCTTCGTCAGGAAAATTTCGTATTGTCATTTCAAAATCTTACTTTCGGCCAAGGATACTTTACATGTATCGATTGTTTATGAATGTGGTGATTTCTAACGGTTAGACAAATGACAATATCTATGTAACTGTTATGCAGGAAAGCTTGTTACCGACGTGGACGTATCAAATAGTTTGAGAAACACGACGAGTTACACTTGCAACAAAATGACTGTTATTGCATTTGATTTTTGATTAGGCTCGTTTTGATAAATCTTCAGTTGCCAGTGTGGTTGTACTGGTAGATTCCTCCGTTATTCGGAGCATCCCTCGAAAGCTGCGAGAGTACAGTGGAATCCATGTATATTCCCTATCGGGATTAATGGAGATTTGTCACTAACGTAATTACAAAAATATTTACAAGGGCAATCCCCACCCCAACACAAAGGGAGTGCTAAGACACCGGGAAGGCTGTTATTATGGTGGAGGAAGCTCTTTCAAATATTTTGTCTGAAACTAAGCTTATCAATATAATATCTGGACATTTGTGATTGCGAAGCTGTATTTGGAAAACGCCTAGTTGGCCGAGTGGTTTAACGAAGCATGTGTTCAAATCCTGATCAAAGAAATGTTATCAAAATATGCCCATTTGAGATTTAGGAGCTTAAGGGGGTACCCAACACTTTGACTGAAATAGATTTCACTCGTTTAATTTTCATAAAATGTTGACCGAATATTTACTTTGACCTGTTGACAAAATTTTGAACATTTAAAGAAATGTGAACCACACAATTTACAGGAATGATTTCACTTGATATATAGTAGTTCGACAAACCCTAATTTTGATTATTGAGAAGTTTAATTTCTCTTTACAAATAGTATGTGATTAAAACGTTCCACTGAATTTTAGAGAGTTCTCTTCCCTAGGTGTTTTGTACCCCCTTAATTAAATACATTAAAACAGTATGTGCCATTTGTAGTGTTAACGCTGTTAATCCCTTGGTTGTCAAATATAAGTCTCATTGGCAATCAAACCACATCTTCTTATATGTATTTTAAGATACAAATATAGTTAAATGACTGCATGATAAGTATTATTGACCCATAATGACATATAAAAAATTCTGATCTGGAAGGTATGCCATCTAGGAGAATATGCAGTCATACATCATGCGTTATGTTATAACCCTGGATTAAACCGACAAACCATGGCATCATCCGACTTACAAAAAACTATATATTTATATAGCCTTGTTGGACTAGTGGTTTAGTGCGTTGTAAACAGTAAAAGCGGAGGTCACGATCTTTTAAGAGGATGATTGCAAATCAGAGAGAGCGAGTCCAAACATTTGCTGTTAAAATTTTGCTTATATCTGTAAGACTCAGATCGATGTCCGGCCTCTAATCGACATCCGTTCCTCAAATCCACGTCAAATTCTGACGTCATAATGAAGTATTATTCCAAATCGACGGATCAAAAACTATATATTTATATTATAACCCTGGATTAAACCGACAAACCATGGCATCATCCGACTTACAAACAACTATATATTTATATAGCCTTGTTGGACTAGTGGTTTAGTGCGTTGTAAACAGTGAAAGCGAAGGTCACGATGTTTTGAGAGGATGAGTTCAAATCAGAGAGAGAGAGCGAGTCCAAACATTTGCTGTCAAAATTTTGCATATATCTGAAGACTCAGATCGATGTCCGGTCTCTAATCGACAACCGTTCCTCAAATCCACGTCCAATTCTGACGTCATAATGAAGTATAATCCCAAATTCTATGCCCCTCTAATCGATGTCTTTTTTTTTCGCAAATCGACGTCCAATATTTGCTCGAACATATTTGGCATGTAATCGACGATCTTTTTACGGACTAGCCTCAATGACGTCACAATTCTATTTAATGAAAACAACTGTCAGATGCCTGATTTGATTCAGGGATTTTCCGACAAAAAATGGTTAGTTGAACCTCAAACTCCAAAAGTTGTTAAAATATAAGATTTTAAATCTTGAAGTCCAAATGATAACACTTTTCAACAATTGACTGTATTTCTTTATTCTGTCTATTGTTTGAGGCTGTATATCGCCCCCTAGATGTATTGTCATATTTTTTTTTCGTTGGATTGTTGTTTTATCGTCGTATTCCCTCGTGTAATTTATTTATATGAAAATCAAAACATTAATATGCATGTACATGTAATATCATGTCGGTGTTTGTCTTATTGTCATTTACTGATGTTTGTCCTTTTTTTTTTATTTAGTTCATTAATTGTGTTCCTTTTCATATACGTCAGCTCATTCATTATAATTTTTATAGTATATAGATATATGAAAACATTTGCTTTCCTTAAGCAGCTTTGCACAAAGCTAATACGGTACAGATAAAATAAACAAAGATCATTCTCAGAAAAATGAAGTGAAATGATATTGGACACCGATGAGAGGACACTCCGATCGATCGGATGTTGTTTTGGTAAAACATGGCGTCACATTGGACATCGATTAGAGGATAAAAATATTAGACACCGATTTGAGAACGTGACTTTACATCGGTCGTCGATTTGAGAAACGGACGTCGATTAGAGACTGGACGTTGATCTGAGTGTAACATATATAAAATTGTAGGGCTACATTTAAGATGAAGTGTATATACTAGATGATGTAAACATGTATATCCCATGGTTATCCAGTGGATATGCATGTCGTAGAGTTGTCCCATAAACCTGTATGTATACATGTATATGTATACAAAGATACCCACCTACTATGACGGATAGATTAAATAAGTTGAAAATCATATCTTACTTATTATAAAGTTCTCAAAAACAATAGCCCAGACAAAAATATAACGAAAACGTTTTTTTCTAAATTTTATCAAAGTTTATTATAATTATCAGTCTCACTTGGTGCTGAAAAAGAAATGTGAAATAAGTAATATCAGAAAAATAACATCGTGTCTTCTTTTTTTTTACTCTATCATTGTTGCTCAAAGTCCAATTAAATCTTGTAAATAATGAATAGAACAGGATCAAATTTAAACAAACAAATGAATCGTACTTTTGAATTCTAGATTGCTAACATCTGGAAAAAAATTCTTTAAAATGCATAGTGCCATAATCGTCATAGTAAGACACCACTTCAGAGAAACCTATTGCTTCTCAAAAATAAATCCTTTGTTCATGTTTTCCTCGTAAATATATAAATTTCAAAAAATAATTATGCATTTGAAATATTGTATTCCTTTTGGTAAAAACAAGGATTTTGAGTAAAAATTACTCTGCTATACAGTTTGTTCAATTTAGATTAAGAAGACTAATTGTACTAGCATTTACCATGTTTACAATATTAACCTATCATTATCTAAAATTTAACATAAATGATCATTTTACAGTTTTCCAGGATTGAACACGTTGAATATGAGCAGTAAAAAAAAAACAAAAACAAAACATGGCCGTCTTTGCATAAGACATTTTGACGCGAATTGTCGTTTTAGTATGACAGTCGTTTATTGTGAAATATTAATTATATATTAAAGGGAAACTTCTTCTAATGATACATTCTCTACAGGTTTTGCAGTTTGGATTTTGCTTATTGTAAGAAGTTGAAGGACATTAGGAAAATTTAGAATAAATAATTACTGAAATCCGACAGATTAGATAAATGTGTAACAACTGGCGGATACTATAATTGTTATTTTTCTATACATATATCCTTTACCACAAAAACTTAAATCTGTAATATTTCTACTTACATTAGTCTGATACATGTTAAGGATTCTCTGGACATGGACATTGACCACGGCAACCATAGTTTTGAAGACTGTAATAAAAAGGTATAAAATATCACTTCCAGGTCTGTCATGGACTTTTTTTAAGAAGATCATTCAGTTCTAGGTATACATACTGTTGATTGAGCAAAGATAGTATTTTAGTGGATACTTGATTTCGTATTTTGCCAACGTTAACCCTCAGACCTTTAGGAGATAAGTATTTCATTGAACACATATATTCGTGGTCCCTTGATTCTCATGAATTCAACAACCATTGGTAATCAACGAATAATAATGAACAGATTTTCTTTTAAATAATCTGATGAGACAAATACACTCAATCCTTAATCCTCAATTACTCGATAATAATACTATACGTAACATTGCAACAGTAATAGAAAATACATATATAACTACACATAAGTTTCATGGAATTTTATAAAATTGATAATAGTTCTAATTGATAAATAATGCTTGTTGACCGAATTTTGAGAGTGTAGTGGTAAATAATACATACAACTTCTAGTTAAAGATGCAGTAAAACATATGCACATTTATTTTCTCAACAAGAATTAGCAAAAAGTAAAATAACAAAAATACCGAACTCCAAGGAAAATTCAAAACGGGAAGTCCATTATCAAATGGCAAATTCAAAAGCTCAAACAAACCAAACGAATGGAAAACAACTGTCATCTTCTTGACTTGGTACAGGTATTTTCTTATGTAGAGATATAGCCAAAAGTTAAATGTTTATTTAGTACTGATAGTTGTCCATTGGTGTAATTTGCGCATCATATGCGAACAGTGATTTCCATTAGCTGCCATGTTTTAGGACAACGTGCACACATTCTCTCATGAATCACCCAAACTTAACTTATTTGATGATCTCTTGTCTTAAACACAGGCATTTACAGAACAATCTGGTAACAATCAAAAAATCAACTAGTTTGCCCTCAAATATGGTGGCCAGCAATCAAATAATATGTTTTTTCGTTGTTAAGAATGCATGTAAAAGAGAGGCGAAAGATATCAAAGGGACATTCAAACTCATAAGTCGAAAATAAATTGACAACGCCCAGCTGGCTAAAAAAGAAAAACAAACCAACAGACAATCAATAGTACACAAAACACAACATAGAAAACTAAATACTGAGCAACACAAAACCCAACAAAATCTGGGGGTGATCTCAGGTGCTCCGGAAGGGTAAGCAGATCCTGCTCCACATGTGGCACCCGTCGTGTTGCTCATGTTAGTACAAACCCAGTAATTATAAATCTAATTCGGTAGGTCACATTCGGGAAAAGGGGACGGTATTGTAGTTACGACATTAGGAGCATATCCGCTATCATCTGTGAAACGGATATTTCTTGGTTTAATAGCTTCCTTGTGAGCAGCAACTCTCTATCAAGGAAATCATGATATGAAATACAAGCCCTGGAGTATCGTATCAACTGGGAGATATATACTCCGTATCCAGGCGCTGCTGGAATGTTGCTACATAAAAATGGAAAGTTCACAATTGGGAAGCTGAAATCATCTCTTTTGTCATAAAGTTTTATTTTCAGCCGATATCTCAAAAGCCATTGTAAAGTATGATGTTTACCTGGCATTTCTCAAAAAAGATTTACTACGAATTTTCTTTAAAAATACATATGCTATTGCAACTAAAATTTCTGTTTTATTAACATAACATAATTTTGATTGAATTTCCAGAAGTATCATCAAATTCATTTTGTAAAAATAAAAGGTTTGTACGTAAAAATCAATCAACAATGAGGTTTCTATGGACAATACATTCACGACGTCATGTTTACTTTTGCCTTTTCGGTGCTTTTTAACAGTGTGCGGAAGATTCAACTATTTATATTAAGGCAAAATCGACTTCGGATACCCAACCAATTAATTTTTCTAGGACTGGTTTTCAAGAAACAATGTTTCGAAATTAGAATTTCTGAACTGGTTCAGATATGTACATATATTTTATAATTAGTTCTTTTATTAACAGGATTTCTTATTTGTTTAATCCCGGACAGTAAAAAGATATAAAAGTTATAGCCATATATTTTTATAGTATTAATCTGGAGTTCATTGGGCTAATGTTGTATGCAAAATTTCATTAAAGAAAACGTCATGTCGACAACTTTCGTCACCTTACGGTAGGTATTAATAAAAACGTAAGGTGGTAGCAAATAAACCAATGGGAATAAATTCTACAATGTATTAATTTAACAAATGCTTTACACAAGAGGCGAAAGATACCAAAGGGACATTCAAACTCATAAATGGAAAATTAACTGACAAATCCATGGTTAAAAAAAAGAAAAGACCAACAGACAAACAACAGTACACAAAACACAATATAGAAAACTAAAGACTAAGCAACACGAACCCCATCAAAAATTTGGGCTGATCTCAGGTGCTAACAAACATTTCTATTTATTCAAATGTGAAAAAAAAAAGAACGCATTTCTCTCATATACTCTCACTCTCTGATTCATGTCCGGGAAATTTGGGTCCTCAATGCTCTTAAACTTCGTACTTTGTCCTTTTTAAGTTTTTTTTATTCGAGCTTCAGTGATGAGTATTTTGTAGACAAAACGTGCTCCTGGCGTATAAATGTTTAAGTCTAGTATCTATGATGAGTTTATTGGCTATACTTTATGTCAACTACATGAACGGTCATATCAGCTCCTCAAGTTTGTTTTAGATTTTGATTCCAAACATTTTGGCTTTGAGTATCAATAAAGAGCCATGATTTGTTGGAATGAGCTTCAAGTGCAGTAAAAATGATCCCGTGTTATGCTATTGTTATTACTGAGTCGTAGCGTATATCAATCTTGGAAGTGTATTGCTGCGATACTGGCAAGAAAATACGGATATCGATTAATGAATTATGCAGTGGTGAAACTATTGAAATTATTTGAATTATGGAATGTATCTCTTATAAAAAGTTCTGTTTCATCCTCTGTGTTTGGCTATACTTGTGTGCCTTTTATTACTATGTTTGCATCCGGCATCACTGAAGAACTGTTATGATGCGCTTCTGGTGCAATAAAATTTAAACTGTTAAATATCATTACTGTGAAATTAAAAAATGTTTCTTGAATAGTTCCCATGTTCAATTGTTGTTTGATATTCATAAGCTGGGTTTTAAATGTGGCAGTTCAGCATATCGCTTTGCACATTTGTTAAGCCTGTCAATAACAGTTTAAGAGAGACAATATCAATTAAATGTTGACTTAATTTAATTAGGATATGTGATTTGTTTCAAAATAAAATGGATGAATTGTTCATTAAGAAGATAAATAAAAGCAACAGTAGTTTACCGCTGTTCGAAATTAATAAATCGATTGAGAAAAAAACAAATCCGGGTTACAAACTAAAACTGAGGGAAACACATCAAATTTAAGAGAACTACGACACAACAGAAACACAACATTAAAATGTAACATCATTTAGTAGAAGCTACTTACTGGCATCGCATATAACATTCATTATTGAAAGTCACACCACAGCTTGAACAAACATATTGTCCTGTCGGGAAACAATTACAATTAGGACACTGGGAAGACACATTATCTAAAAATGAAAAATATAACCATAAGAATTCTTCTAAAAAGCAGAAAAGGTTTTCCTTTCCAGTAAATAGTTTAGCATTTTTATTTGATCTCGAACAGTTATATTTGGTAAACAAATGTAACATAACACTTATTTGTAACGAAGGTCTTTGTCCATCGGCACAAAAAAGAATATTTCAATCATATCATGTAAAGAAAACACATTCCAGTAAGATTGAAATATCTTGGTCGACCTGTACGCTTTACGCTTTTGTATGTAAAAGATATAACTGCTATGTATTTTGGAGCTTGAATTACGTTTAGGTTTAACTATCGCAAATGAAGTTTACATTTCGGCGATTTTTTTAAAACTCAGATTGCAATGTAAAAAAAAATACAAATTTGACAAATTGATTTGTTATTTAACTAATTATTTTATAAACAACATGATCTCACTTGTATAAATAAGTAGGCCATAACAAATCATACAAATGTAACATAACACTTGTAATGGCATATATTTTAGAAGCATTGTCACAGATGTTAATAATGGAGATATTTCAGGGAAAAAAATATTTCGATGTAGCTCGTCTATATTATATGTGCTGTTTTGAGCGTCTGAGTCTAGGCAAGTTGAGCACAAATCCAACGGCCGCAAATTTTTCAAAAGACGAAACATTAAGATTATAGTCTTTTCGTTATACTGCAATTTGTTCTTAAGTAAACAATATAATATTTTGAAATTTGTTAATACCTTTCTGTTTTTATGTTATGTAATACATTGATAAGTTTGAAATTTGTTCACTTGATTGTAATAAGTGGTTAAATATGAGACAAAATGCTGTCATATAATTGAATAGACAGAAACAATACTAGGTATAATTGCTATACACTACAACAGAATATTAGATCACTATATAGTTAATGCATGGTATACAAGCTGATGAAGGGTACAATAAAATGCCTTACTTGAAATCGATGTCTCTACCTCTGATTTAGTCACGTTACAACAGAAAAAATAAACTATTCTTAAAATATCATGTTAACGTCTGGTGACTTTTTCTACTTATTCTTTATTTAGGAATCAATTAATATTAGGATTAAAATCGTGCTAGTATTGAACTACTGGTATGAATGCTTGATCATCTTTGGGCGATTTAAAAAGCTGTAAATGCTGCATTGATGAAATCTAATTTCATTTGCGACCCCTGAACCAGTATCATAATTTTGTTGATTTAACAAAATGTTTTTGAGAGTTCAGTGTTATTTCATGTACTCTTAGTTAGGAAAATAATCATTCATAAACTTGCTCCGTTTCGTTAAATTTGAACATATCTTGAAATCACACTATTTACAAATCATGAAAAACAAAAGAAATAAGAGGATATTGGAGGTACACGTTCTGAAATAAGCTCGCAAAAGGCTGCGAGAATTAACTTGTTGAAATTTTAGATAACATTACTTCAAACATATGTTGTGCATAACGATAATTTGTTTTGGTTTATCAACTACTGTGTTGGTACTGCTGCTTTTCCTGTCTCCAAGTGTGTCATTCGTCACAAAGTCCGTATTTCGAGATTTGCATGCTATAAATAATACTAATTGTGTGTGACTTTTTAGTTAATTGCATCTTTTTCTGTCACCAACGTTGCTTGTCCTTTGGGCAAAGCTCATAGACGATTTTGGCAGTCCTTTGAATACCCTTTTTCCTTTGTATTTCACTCAAAGGTCTCCTATACTTTATTTTCCTCAAATGTTTCATATTTGTGGTCTTTCAAAGTTGAATTCAAGAATGCACCTGTTGAAATTTGTTGCAGAGCACGTGTTGTGCAGACGTTAATCATAGCACTGGTTTTTACTACCACTGGGTAATTGCCGGTTCAGGTTGCCAATGTCAAAAGGGTTCCAAGTGTACAATCCATAGAGAAGCCAGTTGTTCAAGTAATGCAAATTTGCCTAAACTAATGTAGCATATCACCTAATGAAAGTTTACCAAACATTAAATAGGTGGGTTATTTCTAAGCCATGTTGTTTAATTTTATTCCAAACCGTTTATAAATGGAATTTTCACATTTACCATTAGGAGCGTACTTGATAAATATTATGCCAGAAACGCCTGATTTTGCTAATAATAATGATTTAATATTTTGTTTGAGGACCTGTTGAATTTTTTAACGAAACCAATGAACATAGAAACATACATAAATAAAAAGTAAACAGAGGATTTAAAGCGCATAGTTTTGCTGGAATTAATTGATAACTATTGTGCAAGTGAAACGAGTAGAGTTACATTAACAACGCGTGTGATAATCTAGTACTTATATTTGTTAATTGAACACGATACTGGTGCAAGCATTGAATTTAACATGAAGTTACTCATTAGTTAATACCTGTGGCTATGGCAAGAAATACCAACATCAACAATGCGAACTTCATTTTATCTATGGCCGCTTGAGGAAAACTGTACTTCCTACAATAGCGTAAAATATAATGCTTATAGCCATCTATGAGTAAAGTAAATATAAATGCTGCTGCTGATGATGATGATGTTTATCCGATTGTGAAAATATTGTTATATTTGATAGAACATACATTGTTTGAATGCGGATCACGAAAACACGAGTATTTTCAAACTTGAATTGTATACATTTATCCATTACCGATCGCATGGTCACCTAAATTTTAAAGGATAAACAGATGGTTCTGGTCTAGATTACAATCTACTGTGGATTCATTAATGTTCATTAGATACTTTATTTAAATTCCAGAATCATTGCAGAGGGCAGTGTGCAAACAAAAATCCTTAACTGCCGTACCAAGATCTATTACTTTCGTTGACGACTTTGATGTTTATTGAACCTGACAGGTTAATAATATTATAGATCTAAATAAAAAAAGATTATCAATAAATGATAGGTTTTGCCTACACGCCGATTTTGTATCTGTTTTAAATGAATCGCTTCAGTATCAAGAAAATATGAAAATACTCGGCTTTTACACGCTAAAACAGGAACGTCATTTGTTTTTAATACTCTAATGAAGTGAAATGAACAGGGGGTAAACAGAGGACTACTTATCCATATAATTTATACAATGTTGAATATTTAGGCTTTACGTTACCTTTACAACACGTATTACTAAGTGTATGAGCTCTCTAAAGTGCTCTTCGTGTGCTATGGATTCGCCGTCATTACCTGCTTTTAACTATTAATCATAGATACCGACTTACCTTCAACAATTTACGATGTAACCAACTGTTCAACAAAACAACATCACCAAATATATATATATTTATGAATATAAAAATGAAAAAAAGTAAGATGATAAATCAAGGAAGACATATTGTCAAGCAAAAAAATTCATCTTTTGGTTAATTTGGTTAACAAAAAGATAAAAGTAAGAAACATGTCATGGATTTATGGTGATATTTTATCAAGAATTCGTGGAAATTTACATGTTTAATTAGTCATATGTTTTTTTAGCAATAAAAATATATCTTAGTTTTAAGCTTCGGTTTTAGGGAAGATATGCCAGAGACAAATGAATAATACTATTAATAACAAAACTAATAATAACAATCATAGAATTATAGATAATAATAATGATTATAATGATAATAGTTATGATTATAATACTTACAATAGTAATCATTATGGAATAACTAATCGAAGAATTCAAATATAGAAAAAATTTAAACAAATGACTGAACAACACCTTAATTCACGAATACGCGTAGCGCATGAGTTCATCGTCAGTGTTGTTTGAATACGAGTTGAATATTGTTCTATTAGTCATTCTTTTTATTACATTTACCGTGGGATTGTTGTTGGAAATAAAGTAGATAAAACAACGAACAATATCATTGTCCACACGTTTTCAATTCATTTTGAGGCAAAGTCACTATTTTATTCATTTATTTATTTATTTAACTGGGAAATCACGGTATTTCAATGCGACCAATATAATAATAATAAATAAATAAATAAATAAATAAATAACTGAAGCACGGCCAGGGCTTGTAATGACTAACCTTTAAATATAATTTTTTGCGGACTCCAGTCTTTAAATAGAGTTATTGAGTGTTTCTAATTAACATGTTATTGCTCAATTCAATGGAACGATTGTTCAACGAATTTCAAAAACTTACTCATGATGCATTATTGAACGCAGCTTTAGACTTGTTCTTGAATGTTAAATGTCTTTTTTTTTTACTCAAATTGAAATAGCTGCACAAATTTGGATATCAAGCAGCAATTTACACATTGATACAAACTAATCTTTACTGCCATTTTAACGAGGTCAACAAAAACTTTTATTCCGCTAGTTTACATGTTCTTGATTGCAAAGTAAATGCAAATTATAACGTAGTTTGCAGTTTGCATCCAACACTATACAAATCTTGTTTGAATATTGGTACTACCGTTGTGCTCAGCTTGACAGATCAGGAGCTTTATTGTGTGTTTCACTTACATGTGTAAAATGATGGGTGCCACATGTGAAGCAGGATATCTTCCGGAGTACCTAAGATCACCCCCAGGTTTTGGTGGGGTTCGTGTTGCTCAGTTTTTAGTGTTTTATATTGTGTTTTATGTATTGTTGTTTGTCCGTTTTTTTATTCATTTTCAGCCAAAATGTAGACGAAGGAATGATTTCTACTTCACCATTCGGAACTCTTGGTTTAATAGCTTCCTTGTGAGCAGTAACCCTCTATTAAGGAAATCATGATAGTAAAAACAGGCCAAGGAATATCGTATCAACTTGGAAATATATACTCCGTATGCAAGCACTGCTGGAATGTTGCTACATAGAAATGGAAAATTCACAATTGGGAAGCTGAAATCATCTCTTTTGTCATTGTTTTCAACCGACCTTGATTGTCAATGTCTAGATGTAAGTCAAGATATGATGCAGACTTAACTGTATCTGATGTATCCTTTTTTTCGTTAGTTTCATGGTCACCAAACATTGAATTATTTAGTGAGATAACATCATATTTATAGCGGAAAGGGAAGTTAAAGGATACTGCTAACTTCTATTCTTCCTTCCTAGGAAGTTCTTGTATGAAGCCAGCCTCGTATGAATAAAGGAACAAGTCGGCAGGAAGATGAGCACAGTTGGTTTCCAGGGGGATGCGAGTTATGTGTTGAAAAACACATCCTCTAAACATAAACAATATGTTGTCAATCAAGAAATCAAGTATCTTGATAATGTCAGTTTCAGAGAATTTGTTTGTTTGAATCAGAGTGATTTTTACAAAGTACGAGTTATCCCTCCCGAAAACAATATCCTTTATTCTACGTTGGCCATTATTTTTTATGAAACAAACCAGGATCAACTGTATCAATTTGTTTTGTTTTTTTTTAGTTTTGAATGAGGAATACTTGTGTAAAGTGAATAAAAGTCAAATACTTCAATAGTATGGTTAGATGAAAGAGTCTTAAATTCATGTAATCTGAAACATCTTTGGATTTTTTTTAGTATCCACATCAGATTCACGCCACCTCTATAATAGTTAGTTCACAATAACTTTGAATTTAGGTATCCAATACAGCGAAAGAAGATCCAGATCTTCATCTTTCGTTGAAATTCCAAAGGAATATACATGTAGAACAAACCTATGATTAACTAGGATTTCCTCCTTGGTAAGTGTCGTGGGTGTACTATATGTTTAGTTTCCAAGTAAGTTGTCAATATCTAATTGATTCATTAAGCAGTTTATGTAGTGTGGCTTACACACAAAAACGATGTTGTTTGGTGCTTTATCCTCGAGGACAACAACATATTTGTCATGGATGTAGGACAAAAAACATTTGCTTAATCCTTGACTGAATCCGTTATTCCGGGCTTTTAGATAACACATTTTGAGGAGAAGTGTTATTGACAATGTTTAGGTCACAAGTAATAACGTGGCAAGTTGGATTATATATGAATGGGGAACAAGTACAGGTGCAATCAGGAGGTTTAGTCTTGAAGTCGTCAATATTGAGATCCTGCCACACGTGCTTGTAATTGAAAATTTTGATTGCAATTGTTTGGTATAGGTATAAGAATGATAGGTACAGACTGATTTTTAAAATAGAGAGGTATTATCGAGTGAACTCATTTATGATGAAGGATATTGCCCAAGTTAATGGCATCGAGACCTTTGTTGGCAAAGGAAAGTTTTAGAAAGGATTTTTTCTCCTTTTCATCTTTTCCAATCCGAACTGGTTTGAAAAGTCCGTGACTGGCAATATCCGAGATAATAGCTGTGAGTTTGTATTGGTTTGAATGGGGGTTTGTAACAGTGGTTTCCAAACAAAAAATGTACAGATAATGACGTTTTGAAAGGGTAATGAAAAAGGCTTCGTGCGAATGTGATGAAAACCTTTTGTATAAATGGCAGCAGGTCATTACTAGAGACATTGAAAAAATTATTATTGCATTGCCTTTCAAATACAAAGTAATATATTTTGTTTAATGAGGCTTCCTTTTTAATGTAACAATTTAAAAAAGGACAATGCAAATATTCAATATTGCCTCATACAGCAAAACGTAGGGGTGATTACGATTTTGACATTAAAGATATATATAAAGTTGTTTATTAAAAATCTAGTTTTCAGTATGCTATAAATATCAAAATTCCAGTCAGTTTAAATAACTTTTGCTTAGAATTTCTTAGTGAAGTAAATACAAGGCAAAATTGGCACTACCGGTTTTTCCTTCTCGTAAACTCGTTTTTACATATAAGTTACTATTGAAACGCGTGAATTAATTTGATATCTTAAATTGTTCTTGCGGGAGGAAATGGCCGTGTCTGTTTTCGCGTTTATTTTTAACACTCAAGACAATTTTTTTGTTCAGCCACACCAGAAGAGAGTTCAGACAATAATGTATCCCTCTCGTCTCAAGTATACAATGTAAACTTTAAAATCAATAAGATGATAAAGTTTTTCTCCCCCATAGCCTAAACCAGTTTGGCAAACAATTTTGAAATGCTCTTCAAATCCCTTATTTTGTTGTTTAACTGTTTTGATTGAAGTACCACTCATGAGTCTTGAGTAGACGAAACACGCGTTTGACGTACAAACTGATTAGACTGGTATCTTTGCCGAGATTTTTTAAATATACCGGCCACTTTGTGGTTGAAAAATGGCATTGAAAGTAAACTCATCATACATACCAGGATTGACATTGTGTACGCTAGACGTCTTAAAAAGACTCATCAGTTACGCTCAAATCATGAAAGTTAAAAAGTCCAAATAAAATACGAAGTTGAAGAGCATTGAGGACCCAAAATTCAGATGGTTTTAGAAAATACAGCTAAGATAATCTATTCCCGGGGTAGAAAATCCCTGAAAGACCCGTTCTTTTTAGTCGGAATTCGACAATACCATTTTATGTAATTTTATATACATGCTCACCATATCAGTTCATTTTACTTTGTTCTGGGTTTTGTTTAGTGCATTTTTTTTTTTTGTAAACATTAAATTCTGTCCACATATGATTTGCAGGTGAATAAAAATTAGTTTATTATTCATTAATCCTGATTTAAGACAGGGAGCATAACTTGTACTAATTTGCATATAGATTTGACGGTCTTTGGTAGTATTCAGTGTCTTTCTGAAAGATCAGTCTCTCCTTCAAATTATTGTGTCTTGTTTATATACAGATAAAGTGTTTGTTTATGTTTTTTTCATTAATTATCTTTGGTTTTAAGGTCTGTTTTGTATGCACTAAGGGTTTTCTACCATTAGTCATAGATTGTCGGTTTTTAATCTTTCTGAAATTTCGTAACTAATTTTGCCGTTCAACTGGGTAAATTTGAGCGCCACTAATGAGTCTTAAGAGAAAACGAGCGTCTTGCGTACTTAATTATAAGCCTAGTAATATGACGAGTTTTGTTACGATGCATAATACTGTAACGTCTTTTATATTTCAGTTATATGTTTTCAAAATGAAGAGCACAGCATTTCTATTTTGTCTTGTTTTCCTAGCAATAGGTAACATTTACTCCTTTTCTGGTAAAACAGTGAAATTACAGAACAAAATGTAGTGAACAGTATTTAAACTAAACTGCAAAAGTGACATAAATTGTAATAAATGTTTCTATTAAGCATTTTTGAATGGTATGTAACCTTCATTTCATGACACTTATTGATAATACAGAAAAAATATATGCGTTTCAATATTGAATAAGGAAACATATTTTCTATGAAATTCTAAATACCCAATGCTGAATTAGAAGTGAATATAGATATTTTACGTTTTACTTGACAACAAAAAAACAAAC